CACACACACACACACACACACACACACACACACACACACACACACACACACACACACACACACACACAAAAAAAAAACACATACACAGACACACACACACACACATTGCATATAAAGGGTAGCTACTTGGGGTTCTTCATTGTGTTACATAAATTGTGTTATAAATATTGTTTCTGTATTTAAGAGGGCGCCCTCAATTTCTTGAAAAATAAGTCTAGCAGAATAGCTTGAGTATATGTAATCTCCCACCTGTTAAGGCTGAAAATTGCCTTACTAGTACATATATGCTAAAACAAAAGGAAAACTCAGTGTCAAAAATATTTTAGTCATCTGTACCTTTCTGCAACAAGGTTCAAGAATCTACTGGTCTCAAACCAACACAGGACCTAAGCAAATTCACCTAGCTTTTACTGGCCAAGTTTCATGTTTACCAGAGTTAGTGTTCATTCCACAGACAGGGAAACTTGAGTAATTATTATATATTAGATTTGCGCTGTTTTTATATTGCAGTTTTCCAAGCCCTCGGTGTACCATTTTCCAAAGTGGCTGAATGGATAGTGAAACAGAAGGACAGCTTCTTAGACAGGTACCATACTAATCCTGAACCCAGGGCCAGGACCAGGAATAATGAGGTAATAATACAGCATAGGGCTCAGAGTGAGAAAGAAATGCATTATGGTGTTAGGAAAAATATTTATACAGCATTGGGCTTAGAATAATAAGGTCATAAAACAGCATTGGGCTTAGAGTAATGATGTAATTATACAGTATAGGCTCAAAGGCAGAAAGAATGTTATTATGCAGGGATGAGAATTTTCCAAATATTGGCAGTTTTCCAACTTTTTGGGAGCTCAAAAATGTCATTGGCCTAGGCAGCTTCTTGGTCCCCATGCATATTTTTCGACTTTTTTATAGTAAGTTGCAGTCTCATCTTGATTATCGTGTGAGGAGGGGGGAAAAAGAGGTAATAATACAGCATAGGGCTTTGAATAGTGAGGTCCTAATACAGCATTGGGGTCAGAATAACAAGGTTCTGATATAGCATATAAGGATCCAAGTGGAATGGGAATAATCTGAGATAACCCAAAGTCCCACGACTTAGTGTAAAATAACAGGATTTCACAGGATTTGGAAGAGAGGTGTGTCAGTGGCAAGTGTGTAGTGGCAGTAAATAACAAACAAGCATGCTAATTCATGTTAAATTGTGCACATTTCAGTACTTGTCAGATGGTCAGTTCTCCCACTACCGTCCTTCTGATCCTGTGGGAAGAAGTATGGGGATGAGAGTGTCAAGGAGCAACAATGAAGGTACGTGCGAGTGTTTTCTTGTGGATTTATTGGTAGTGGACATTTTTATATAAGCACAGATGACGGAGAATTTCTTTTAAATGTTAAAAATGGTATTCAGAAGCAAAAGACTTTCATGCTCTTTCAAACACACATACTAGTACATACATGTGCTAGCTCCCTCCCTCCCTCTCTCTCTCTCTCTCTCTCTCTCTCTCTCTCTCTCTCTCAAATGCATGCACAATTGCTCAAAAGAAATAATTAAAAATGCATACACACCTCTATTTTGCATAATTAGAAGCTGCCAAAAGTGCATTTGCAAGGCCTTCGATTCATTCTGGAAAATCATTCAATTGTGAAGGTAAAGAGTGTGGTGACTGATAGCACAGTCTAATGCTTGGTGTTTTGGGATTGTTTTGAAAATTTGGGAGAATTATGCAGTTTTTCTTCATTTGCACCCAGCTTGAACTAAAGAAAGTCTTGGTGAGGTTGAAACGTTGTACTTTGGTTTCATATATATGTCTTTTGAGAGAAAAAATTATGAATTATTACAGGACTTAATTTTGTTGCTTGCTATTTTATAAAAAAAATTGATTGGGTTGTCATTTTTTTATTGCTTTTTTTAAAATTAAGAAAAGATAAAAATTTTACTTTGTTACATTATTTGATCTCTTATCCACTGACAGTAGATGAATTGGGAGTGTCACAGAAGTAAAATAAGGGAACACTGATCTGATATTCCTTTTACTAATTTCTGTGGAATATTTGAATAGCTTCAGTTGCCAGTTCTGTTGGTGGCACTTTGGATACAGCTTGTCTTGTAACTTTTGGCGACATCTTTGGTTTGCAGTGGTGTGCTGTGATTCCATGTCCAGCTGAACAGCTGTGGGCCATGTTTCTGTTTTCAACAGTGTTTGCAGACGTAACACTTCTTTCGGCAGCTTCCTACATAGTTGCCCTTTTGCACAACTTTTTTTAACCTCGAAAAATTAACTTTTCTATCAGTGATTGACAAGTAGTCCTTGACTAGCATTGAATAAATTTATCTTGTACAAATATTACTATACTGTGCTAGTAGGCATTTGTTGATGAAACACTTAGGCCTGGAGAGAATGATGGAATATTTAGACCCTGTAAAAAAGAGCCATAAATACCATAAATATCTTAAGTCATTTGATTTGCAGGACTACTGTTCTTATTTTTACTACTCACGCAGAAAATTCATATGAATTAGACAATAAAATCTACAACTTTACATTGGAGAACATTTGATTTGAAGAAACTGTGATCTTGGAATTGTTGGTGATCAGAACCCAAATTTCAATTGCATACTTTTCTTTTGACTGTTATGTCTTGATCAGATATGTAATCTTTTGTTATCAGTTCTTCATTAAAATTTCTTTGTGGGGCTGATGTGCTTTTCATCATGTAATATTGGAAAAAAGTATGCCCAGACTTATAGAAATGATTTTACTGTTACGTACCAAGGGGTTTCCACTAGATATTAAAATGGATATATTTTAAGATACCAGCTGCGAATTTGGCATTTGGCATAATGTGCTGTCAGCGTAAGCATAGTTAACTTATGATATTTAAATTGTCACTCGAGTGCGATCTACGCTTTGAAACACATTTTTGAAGCTGCCAAATCTCGCGTGTAAACTATGTTATCACACAGGTGAACTGTCTGTAATGGCCAGATAAATATTCTCATGTCAGAAAAGGTCATGTCATTATCATCAGCATCAACATGAAATCATAAAATAGTATAAAGTGTGATATACATTATGAGTCCAGAGAGAGATTAATAAAAAATAATATTTATGTATGCTATCACAGAGGAATAGCTAACAATGGCCACCAGCTTATGGACTCTTTGTTTTAATACATGTATGATGTTACAAATCTTTTGTTGCTGTCTATAGGTCAGAGGTCAGAGCCAGAGGAGTGGCATCCTCCACCACCGCCCAATGCCGACATACGCAAGCTGAATCTCTTCCGCTCCTATCCCGTCCCTCCATCCTCCTCTTCTGCATCTTCGTCAGCCGGGATGAAACCAGGTGAGATGGCTTTTATTTGTATGTTTTCAAGATTTAGATGTTAAAAGGTTGCAATCAGAAAGTGTAAAAAATAAGAAAAAGTATGTATAATATACTTAAAAAAGATTGCTCCAATATCTGAGACTTTTTATTTACAAATTTGTATAATTTAAAATTTTGAAATTGTATAGTTAAAATTAAGAATCAACTTTCAGTGAATATTTTTGAATATTTTTGAATATTTTGTTTTACTTTGGCTGAGCATATTTCAAATCATGTTGCATTTAAATAAATTGCTGTTAATGAAAGGAAGTAATGAGAAGTTCAGAAGGGGTAGATTAATTAAATACTAATGCTCATCATAATTTTTATTGTAAACAGACAGGAGCAGTGGGAGATCAGAGGAGGGTCAGTCCCGGGGGTACAGAGAAGGGGGTCGAGGAGACAGACTCCCTGGGTCTAAACCAGGTAGTACAGGACGAGGAGTGGCCCCTCCCCGCAGTGCTGGCAGGTTTGTATGTGCATTTATGTTCCCAAGGCCCCCCCCCCTCCCCCACCTTAATATGGTGCCCGCTCGGCTGACTGCAATTTAATGTGAACCCCCAGGGAGTTAGGTCAGTCTAAATCTTAATCTTTAGATCGATCTAAATCTCTGGGAAAGCACCCTTAGTGTTAGTTTGTTGTTGGAATGTTCATTGATTTGTAGAGGATTTTTCCTGAAATGTCTCTTTTTTTTAAGTAGCTCAGTCTTTTTGGTCTGATGTGATGTTATAATATTTTTACCACAGATATAGTTGTTGTTTGGAAATATGGCTTCAATGTTTTATAAATAGTACATTTCATGTTATAAATCATTTCGTTGGTCCTGAGATCCTAACAGCATGGTTAGGACTATCTGGGGTAGCACTAACACTCGCCAATTTAGCCAAATGCTAAAACTGACTTAAATTGGCTAAAGAAAAAGGGCTTGATTTGACATGTTTTAGCCAAATTATTACCATTTTGATAACAAATTGTCAAAAATGTGGTGATATGGCTAAGCAAAAAAAATTGCTAGCTCTACCCCAGACTATTATCATTTATACACACACACACACACATATTTATATGTTTCATATATGTGCCTGCATTTCTACCAGGCCCCTTTCCACCAAACCAATCCCACAACAGCAGCAGAAGCAATTCATACCGCCGTCTTACAGATCAGTGTTCGAAAAGACTTTTGAGGCGACCCCACAGCAAAATGGCGGAAGTTTCCACATGAGTAATGGCCAGAGTTTCCATCGGACCAGCAGCGGCCAGTCGAGTCGGCTTGCTCCAAAAGTGTACACAGCCAAACAGGTGGGGATTCTTCTGTGTTCTCTGAAGAGGAGAGAATCCCTTTTTTTTGTGTGTGTTTATCATTTATTTTTATTTAGTACTCCTGTTACTGTGAACAATGAAAGCATCAAGAAAATTGTATTGAAGAGAGAGAGGGTTAATTTTTTGAAACCGTTGAAAAGAAATGAATTGTTGGTTAGCCAAGTTATTGAATTTGTTTTACTTACATAAATGACATGAATGAATGCAGTAACTGATAAATCATTTTATAGGTAAGATTTTTTTCAAATTCTTGCATCATCAAAAGTTTATAAACTTGTTGTACTTGTTGTTTTTTAGAGAATTAAATTGTGTAAAAATATTTCTAAATGGCTTATGATAAAAAATGACAGGTTGTGTTGTGTAGTAATCGTTTGTTAATTTATCAGAGTATAAATATGGAAGAAAAGGAGCGCTACAGACAGCTGTTACAACAGTTCACCACCACCCCCATCCTCCCTGGAACCTTCTCTGTGACGGCACGGCAAAGACCATCGCCATTGGCCATGATGGCGAGCAATAGGTTAGTTTAGTGTATGAGTGCATATGCTTGTGTGTGTGTTTATGTGTGTGCTTTGACCAGGTGCACATGTATACTTGTTTTGCATGTGTTTGGTGTGATAACCAGTGTGTATATGTATATCAGGGCTTTTCCCAGGATTAGGGGTACACAAGGGTGGATTCAGAGATATTTTCTGACAGTCTTCCAAATTATCTTTTTTGATCCATTCTTCATTTTTGACTGTCTTCCGACAGAAAAAATTAGATACCCGTCAATGTAAATTTGAAAATCCGACTGTCTTCCGGAAGACCCAGAAGACGGCCTAAATCCGCCCCTGGGTACAGGCCCTCTAAATTTACCTCCTATGATTTCCTACAAAATTTCAGGGAGTCCAAGTATGCCTAAAGCCGTCATCTTTACAAAAAATCCATAAGCTGTCCAGCCGTCTTTGAAAATTTACAGCATCCAGTGATGCTGGTGGCTGTCCAAATGACGGCTGGACGGTTCACTGGGAAAACATTCGTATATGCATAGTTGTGGTTAACAGAAAGGATGTAAAGAAAGACAGCAAACTATATGATAGCTTTTCACTTTCAGCACATTGACCAACACCACTCTCCTTGGAAGCGACATCCCAAAAGCTCCAAAAGCATTCCAGCAAGATGTTTTGGTTCCCACCCCAAGACAGCGCATCTCTCCCTCCGACATGGCTTTGCGGCAGAAAAGACTAGAACCCAAAGAAAGCACAGAGAAGGTCCCCAATGATCTAGATGCCAGTATTATAACCCACCTGCCTCCAAAAACCAAAAGTAGTGACACAGGGGTGTCTTTTGTGAATACCAGTACAGAGTCGCCACCTATTGGCCATAGGAAGAAGCTTGGTCGGCATCAGCCTGTCATTGTAGATTTAGGTAAGACCCCATTCCCATATCTAGATGGATCTAGCAGGATCGACCCATCTTCAAGGAGATTCTCACTAAATTGCATTCAGATTAAGCAGCTTAAATATCTGGCACACCTGTTGAAGCTGCTTAAAAAATGATAGTTATTTACCCTCTAATCTTATTTTAAAGAAATTGTCTCTAAGATAGCCCCATCTCTTTAAACAGTGCTACTTGTATAAAGATACTTTGCTGAAGTGTATGAAATTTTATCTGTTTGGATTACAAGTAAAAAATAGAACAGAATCTTGATGTATTTTGGAATTTTTCAGATGCAGAACCAGATATTGTTGAGATTCTAGATGAAAAGCCTCCTTCCAAGTAAGGGATGCTTAGTTCAAATAAGATTTTTATTTGAAAAGGTTTTTTAATAAGTTTTGTAGTTGTTAGTCGATATATATTAGCTCAGTGAATTGTCATTTGAAAAGAACTGGTTGAAAAGTACAATGTTTTTTATGAAAGTCAGTAATGTCTTTGATGATAAAAGCTTTTTTGAATAGTTTGTTTTTTGGTCATTCTCCTTAGATGATAAACAAAAAAAAAATGGATTTTCTCATCCACAGGTCCCCTCCGGCTTTCCAAGATGCACTACAAAGTTCCCCTTACTGGACTGACGAGTGGATAAATAGCCTGTAAGATTATTTTTCCTGCCATGTGGTGATTTGACTCTAGATCCACTCAATTATTTACACACTTTTTACCTAATACAGTAGTTGATATTCTGTGAGTGGCGAAATTTCGTTTTTTGAATTTTCATTATTGCAAGAATGCTGCAAGAATATATATGAAGAGGATGAATTAATTTTACTCAGGTATGTCATTTTGGAAATATTTTTTTAAAAGATGACTTTTCAAAGCGTGAAGTATTTGTTAAATTTGAATTTTTTTTTTGTAGAAAAGAGAGATTTGAAAGTGAAACATTAGCAAGAAAGAGGCAGATAGAGGAAGAGAAAATCAAGTCTAGTTACTTTGAGGAAAAGGTATAATCTACATATTTCTGAGATTTTTATAATTATGAAAACAAAGTTGACATGCAGTTTTTGTTAAGGTAATTTACCACACAAAAAATACTACTGCTGTGAAATAAAAAAAAAAAAAAAAAAAAAAACAATTAAGGATAACAGAGGAAAATAGTATCAAAATCTGCATGGAAATTATGCACATAATAAGATTAACAACTGTCATCTTTGCTATGCAATTCCAATTAAAAGCATATGGCTACCTGAGAAAAAAAAGTGTGGCAGAGAATCACTAGTCTCAATAAAAAATAAATCTAGAATAAAGAGATTAATGACGCAAAATCCTGTGGATAACTTTCCATTGGTTACATTGGTTTATCAGATGCACAGTTTTTGAGGGAAAGTATTATGATTTCAGCGTAAAGAACAAGAGGCAGCTCTAGAAGAACAGATCAGGCAGCGTATGGTGCTCACAGAAACCATCCCACCAGTTGTAGAGGAGGCTTACATAGAGGAAGAGGAGGAGGAAGAAGAGGAGGAGGAAGAGGAAGAATTCCCAGGTAACAAACTGCCTTATATACAATACTTATGTAACACAAGCTAAATTTTATTCCTCACCTTTAACTTACAGTCAACTCAGTTGGAGGCCTTCTTTTTACTGATGTGAGTAGATGTTGGTCAGGACCCTAAATTAAATTTCTGGAGAAAGCCTTTGATTGAGCTGACCATAAGGTAACAATGAGTAAAAAAAATTCACCTCATGTTGAGTAATTACCCTTTGCAGTGAGATATTTGTTTTATTTTCGGGCTTAATGGGGTGAAATGATTTCTAGCAAGAATTACTATTCTGAGTACCCTTAAACATGTAGTCAAAAGGTACTTTAAATATAGAGTGCTTTATGTATGCATGCAGTTTAGATATATAGCCAGTTTGATTAATTTTTCATGTCAGTGTCTTGAGTAATTTTTTACTTTGTTTGAAGAATGCAAAACTTAATTCTATTTGCCACAATTAATAAAAAAAGGTATCACTATCATAATTATCATTGAAGGTTATCACATCTACCTTACATGCAGAGGGTTCCTGCAATGATCCCATTATATTATTATTATTATTATTATTATTATTATTATTATTATTATTATTCTCAGAGTTGACAGCTGAGCAGGAGGACATAGTGGACAATGCTCTGGTCCCTTACCCAGAGGGACAGATTCTTGTGGAGGCATTTGGGCTGCGAATAGCAAGACGCGATATGAGCACCTTGTTAGGGCTGAACTGGCTGAATGATGAGGTACTTGTAGCCATATTAAATGTGTGAATTAACCAAAAATGGTTTTAAAACATTAAAAACGAGATATGAGCACCTTGATAGTGCTGAAATGGCTGAATTACGAGGTACGTGTAGTCATATTAAGTGTGTGAATTAGCTAAAGATGGTTTTAAAACCTTAAAGACGAGATATGAGCACCTTGATAGGGCTGAACTGGCTGAATGATGAGGTACTTGTAGTCGTCATATTTATGCTAATTAATGCATCAGTAGAGATTGTCTCTGTAGATAAAAATTTTTCTTTTGGCCCTAGGAATATTCATGCCAAGTCGGACATTCTTACAAAATGCAGCCTTTGCCCAGTTTGTGGTCCTTAACAAGCCTAATGATTAAGTGTGTGAATTAACTAAAGATGGTTTTAGAACCTTAGAGAGGAGATATGAGCACTTTGATTGTTTTGAGCTGTTTGAATGATTTGGAATTTATTGTCAGATTAAATGTATAGATAATGACGGAATTAGAACTTGAGATGAACGTAGAATGATGGCTTTATCAGAAATGTGCTCTTTGATTTAGGAATAAGGGAGGTCAGTTTCAGTAAATTTTTTCATGATTTTGCTCAAATTTTAGTTTAAATTTATGAAAACAAAATGATGAAAATTTAATGAAACAAAATTTCCAGGTGATCAACTTCTACATGAATCTTCTCATTGAACGTGGCAAGCAGAAAGACTGCAGTAAAGTACATGCTTTCAACACGTTCTTCTACCCCAAGTTGATGAGTGGAGGACACGCTGTGTTGAAACGGTGGACGAGGAAAGTGGATGTGTTCGCAGTTGATTACATAGTGGTTCCTGTTCATCTAGGGATGCATTGGTGCTTAGCAGTGAGTAAAAGTCAATTCAAGTCTAACATTTTGAGGAAATTTGGAATTTTTTGTGACATTTTAATTGTTGTTACTTTTCTTAGGTCTAAACAACACTTTGACCAAAAAGAAAAAAATCTTTGTGTTATTACATAATTTAATACCTATATGTTAGCATCCTCTATAATAACATGAAAGTTTCAAAATCGCTGTCATCCAACAATGTTTCCTGATTAACATTGGTTCTTTTTCTCTTATTGGTCAAAAAATTGTCAATAACACTATTGATCAATGTAATTTTTTGTGATGATGTCATCCATCAGTACTGTATTTTATCTGACCTTGGATACATGGATATTATATATCAAAATCTATGCTAACTAAATAGCCATCATTTTTCTTTATCAAAATTTAACATTTTTCAGCTTGTTGACTTCAAAGAAAAAGCAATCAAGTATTTTGACTCCATGGGAGGCAAGAACACCGGGTGTCTGAAGGCATTAAGGTGAGAGGGTTGACCTGTTTTAGTATGGGAGTTCCCGGATGAAAGTCTAACCCCCCCCCCCCCCCATCCTATACCAGTGTAAAGAAAGAAGATAAAACAATACTGTGGCTTCATGAAATCAAGCTGGAGCACTTTTTCAGTTTTTTGGTTTCTTTGTAAAATCAATTGAAATTATGTCCCCTATAATATCTGTGTGTCTCGTGTATTTCATAAAGTCACTGATTTGGATAACAGATAGTCTACAGGTTAATACTCTAATCTTGACTCATCAAATATGGTAGGTTGTCTCATTCTCAGAAGCTAATAACCTCCTCCTCTAATTCTTCAAATTTAACAACTCTCAGACATGTATTTTCCCTTGTGCAATTTTGATCTTTTATTATGTACAGACACAGATGGGTCTGTACATATAGCCATCATCTGCGTCTGTCGTCGTCGCCGTCGGCGCCNCACCTAGTCTGAACTTGTCTTTAAACTGAAATGAGCATGCATTGATTAAGTTTCTTATGGATTCTGTTTTATATAAAGAATTATTTTCAGTGATGAGTATCTTCGGGTCTTTTTTTGCCAAATTCTGTTTCGGCCTAGTGCTGTAACTGACAGTCTGCTAAAGAGCATGGTAAGAACACCTCCCTTCTACTCCCCCTCCCCCCCCCCCAACCGCATCCCCCTACCTAATCCTTATTCATATTTTGTGTTTATTGGTGGCAATATCGCAGGTTTTAAGGGTAGAATCATCACGGTGGATGTAAAAAAGCTTTAGATTGATTTTAACAATATCATATGACAGATTATGAAATAGGCAAAGACTATTCTGGAAAATTTCATAAATGATGGACTTTCAGTCAAAGCTTATTTCTTCAATAATTTTTGAGAGGGGGGCTGGGATTATGTGGTTTAGGAATAGGTATCTTAGAATTGACAAAATTTGGATGAGAGCTTATTCTTAAGGTGATTTTTAAGTTGATCAAGTTTTTCAGGATCAGGGTGTACTTATACTTACTTTTACCTGATCCCTTTTTAGCAGATGATCCTTGTAACATGTTGTCACTATGGCAGGCAAGGTACTCCCCTGTTGTAAAACTGGAAACCCCCACACCAGCCTTTCCATCTTTCATATAAACATTTTGGGATAGATCATTTCCAAGTCCATATTTAGACAATTGCATTCCTTCACTTTTGCGTTTAGACTTCACAGAAGGGATGTTTTGAGTGAACAAATAAGGATCACTCATTTTTCGAGGAGTTCTCAAATTTGGAAGAGTGCTTCGAGCAAGGAAAGCCGTGACACCTTGAGAGTGAGTGAGACCAGGAGACTGGGAATTACTGTCAAATCTAAAGAACGAACTGTTAGCTAAGTGGACATCAGTTTTAGCTGCCCCTTTACTAATTCTATCCTTCTTTTTCTTCTTTTTATCTGTGGAAGATTTAGCATCAGCTTTTGAGGAATCCCCGACTGGTGGGACTTCCGTTTCAGTTCTACCATTTTGTTGCTGGACAGAACTGTAAGGTGTATACCATGCACTTTGAGCAGCCATCAAATCAGTTTCAGCTTCAGGGACAGAATAACTGTCACATGTTGTCACCTCTTTTGAGTGACTTTTGGGGGCTTTAATTTCAGGGGCGTCAATCTCACAATCTATTTTAAAATCTAAATGACTCTGAACGACAGTTACGGTTGAATTTCGAGATTTGTCGATCGCATCACACTCACTTTTTGACGATGACTGGAACCGCCCTCTGGCGCTGATTGGTCGCATTTGAACGGAGTCATAACTCTCGTTGGATTGGAGTGTCGCAGGTAATGTTGCGCTCTTTTTAAAGGAAGTGCTGTGTTGTAGGCTTTCTGCTGGTCTGGGTCTCTGAATAAATAATTGTTTTTCATTGTAAAAAAGAAACATTTGGTAGGAAAAATTGACAGTGTATGGTGGCAGTGTGTAACATCCATAAAATGAGGCCTTTGAATGACAGTTTGAGAGCAATAATATTAAAAAACCTCCACCTATATTCATATTCCTCTCAGTAAATATTCCACAATATTCTTGTGCTCATTTAACTTCTCATTTCAAACTTTGTCAATAACTATACATGAAAATCAATGCAACTGCGAATATAACATCTTTCATTTCAATAAAAGAAAATCTGAAAGAAAAATATGTATCATGGGAGTTGAACAAAAATCTTACAAATCGTTTGATAGCCTTTGAGATGTCGGAATGCCATTCTTGCATAACTCCCTGGTCATCTTGCTGTAAGAGGTATTGTTGTAGTTCTAAGTCCACTGTGCAGCTTAACTGAAAAAAAAATAGAATTATTGACAAAATTACATTAACTATTAGATGTCTGTTGTTGACATCAATTTGAAAAATACCACAGCAGCAATGCAAATGTACCTTCAGAGATGTAATACAGAGAAGAAGGTACGTGTAAATTTGACAAAATTTAATTGATCTAAATTCTGGACAGATGAACCTGCATCAGATTTCAAGATTAATCTATTAGGTGTTCAACTGAGAGAATATATCCACAAATGTTTGACTAGTTTACAAATTTAAGATTTTAGACACAAGGTGAGATAACATTATTCACAAATTTCTTGACTCTGGATGACATGTGGTAAACCATCAGCAAACAGCTGATTATAGGCACTGTTAAGAGCATAAAACATCAAGACATCTTATTCATAGAACTGTCAGTCAAGAAACAGAAGTTACTTCTTTTTTAATTTCAATAACCTAGCTCTGCCTACAGTGCTAATTATTATTAATTAAAATTTGATGATCATTTTATTACCTGCATTGTGCCAAAATAGTAAAATAGGTCTTGCTGTCTCTTGCACAATTATGGTGATGATTAAGTAAACTGACTCCCCCCCCCCCTGCCCCCAAATTATAAAATGTTATTACATCATAAATTCCAGAGCTCACATCAAATGAGTCAGTCATGTTGTCAAGGCCCTTTGATGAAGAGTTGGAATGTTATACCTCAAAGGTTAAAAGAAGTTTTTAGTGGCATAATTTAGAAAAAAATGCCCTACTGGCATAATTTAGACACCATACTTTTAAAAGCATTATGCTACCTGTATGGTGTTCTTTTTACTGGAGACTTCTTTGCCGGCCCACTCCACGTCCATCTTTCCCACCTCAAACTCCTGGTCTGGTTTACCTTGCTGCTGAAAGTAGAAATAATGAAAGCCTTTTACAGATATCAAGCATTTATTCTTCAATCAAATATTCTACAGTGGAAGTATGTCCACAGAGAGAGAGACAGCCTGCACGTGTGTGTGTGTGCGCATGCAGGAGTAATGTCCAGATGTTAGATAAGGCACCCTGTACTTCTTAATATTCACAGAAATAAAATTTTCATTCAATAATTAGATACAGTTAAAGCAAGGCAGAATTTTAAATGTTTTATGTCCGTTCTTCATAATTCTGTAATCTGTGTGTGTGTGTGTGCATGTGTGTGTGTGTGTGTGTGTGTGTGTGTGTGTGTGTGTGTGCGTTTGCGTGTGTGTGGATTAAGAAATTCAATATAATATTATATCCTTGCAGAAGCATACACTCTTACCCCTACAGCACTTTTAGTATCCTTATAAAAGAAAAGTTTTGGACCTGTGAGAACGATAAAGATCTGTGACCAATTTTTCCTGCAACAGAAAAGTATTAAAGTATACTTTTTTAAATATAAGCAAATGGTTATTTCTGTATATATAGACATTTGGAATATAAAGAATAATTTACATGCATTATAAATTTTACCACAAGTACACAATCAAAACTATGCAAAACTCATTGCTTTTGAAAAAATTAATGTTATCTCAATTTCTTGTCTAATATACGGTAGAAACTTGAAAATTTCATCAGTGAAAAAATATTTAACTTTTAATAAGTGTGGTTCCAATGCAAAAAATAATAAAAAAATATATGATTTTGTCTAAGGCAGTTTGTATCAATTTCTAATTGAGCATGGATTGTAACAATTACACTTGGTCTTACTTCAACTTTTTATTTCCATCCATAATTTTTGTCACTTTGAGGTATCCTCTTTTTTCTGGAGGCTGGAAAAAGATAAAAAAATAATATTCAAATTGGTGTTGTAATTTTAATCATGTCTCACAGCCTTTGATTTGCCTTATTATATATTACATCATTATCATTACAATTTCTACATGCAAATGAACCAAAAATTGACATTATTCTCTTTATTTATAGTTATTAAAAATATACCAATTCAAGGGAGGAGGGAAATGTGAAAAGACAAAAGCAACAACACTCCACACAAATCACTGTGATCTGGATTTCAATTATTTCAAACACAAACACAAATAAGCATAGCAATTCAAACCACTACAGTGTCCTAATATTTTACCTTCACAATGCTTTCTTAAATTGCCATTGTGGATTTTTTGTATATAGACTGCATGACCCAAAGCTTCAGTTTGGTTATATTAATATAGTTTTTTCTAAGTTGATTTGTTCAAACATGTTATATTAATATAGTTTTCTAAGCTGATTTGTTCAAATATGTTATATTAATATGTTTTTTCTAAGTTGATTTGTTCATAAGTCCAACACTAATAAGCTATGACATATATAATGCATGGTAACCGTAGTATATCATCATATATTACTAAATTAAATTTAAAGTTTTCAAAGTATTCTGGCCTGAAATGCTGCACAGGAAATTAGTTCTTTTAAGTTTGCAAATTGTTTACAACAAAATAAGTAAACTAACACCTTAAGCACCAATTTTAACTTAACATGCAACTTTTTGACTTCAAACATTGTTAATGTCTCAGAAGGCTTGCAATTTGAATATTAGTAATAAATCCATAACTCACTATCAACCTAATAATTATACACTAATTTTTATAAATTTAAAGCAGGTTCACAAAAATCACTGACGTACAGGAAGGATAACAAGGATCCTTATTCCACTATGAAATGACATATCCAGAGTGTATTGAATCAGACATCAGATCTGTGGGGTACCAACAATAAGTTAGACCAGTTTTCTACCGTCCATCCACCAATTTTTTAGCTTTAGGCTCTCCTTAGTCTCATCCTTTTTTAAAGAGGGAAGCATTTTCCAGTATCAAAACTAACTCACAAGTCATTAATACATCTCGCTGAAATCTTCAATGAAGCTGAGGAAACCTGCATCAAAGCTGATGCCGTTTTTAATCCAATGACTATCAATCAGTTCTCAAACTTCAGGCTCTGTTAAATCTCCTTTTCTAACAGGCACAAGAATTTGCAATCATCATAGCTCCATCAGGAATCCCAAATACGCATCTTAAAGCTTACAAAGGTCAGCATCACAGTTACTGGCTTTTTAACTGCAGTGAGGCACATGCTTCGTTCCTAGATTTTGACCACTGAGTGACCATGGAGTTGCCGGCCTGACACAGACACATTCTGACTTTTCTGCAATTTTTTTTCTTTTGCACTATCGCTGTTATACCCAATAGCTACAATACCTGTGACTGCAAGCAAATGAACTGTGAACAGTCTAAATTATAATTTAAAGCTTCTCTTGTCCATCAATTCGGGACAGTAAAAAACAAACATATGGCAGCCTCAAGCTATCAAGAGCAACCTTCACTTTTTTTAACAATACGAGTAACCTTGATATTTTACGACAATGACTGCTTCACTTACTAATAACACCATACCCCCCTATAGCAATCTATCCCCATAACATGACAGAACTATGAGATGCATGTATATTTGCCATAGCCAAACACATCTAACAAATTTTCCTTACGCCGATGGCATCAATTGAAAGTTTAGGAGCAATACATGGATTCCGATGTCAAAAACTGCTCATACTATGGATGCCATAAGTTTGTTAGATGTTTGCCAACAGCTTTTGGTATAACCCTTTTCAGGAATAACCACCAGCTTTCTAAGAGTTTACCAAGAAAATTGACGGAGTTTTCCAAGAACTTAACTTATAATATACACAGCTTTTACCTAAACCTTTCATAGAGTTTACCTTTCAACAGCTCTTCAGGGACGTTTTTTAAAAGAAACAACTATACAACTCTTAACAGACTATGGTCTATAATACATTAACAGTTTCCTGCTTGGCAGTTAGCTTCCTGGCAAATCTAACAACTTCCCCAGCTCTAGGCACTATGATTTTTACTGTTCACCAATGTCACATAAAAACCAGCATTATCACTTTTGATGATCATTTCACAATCAAAATGTAGCCTTCATCCTCACAACTGATGATTCAGAACATATAAAATATAACCAGCAATCAACACACCCTTTCATATATCATGCAGTATTAAACATTTTATATTATATTATATTATATTATATTATATTATATTATATTATATTATATTATATTATATTATATTATAAGTAAGTCCTATGTTTGAACTCATTGAGCTTCTATCTATAAAACAAATAACAGCACAGCAGGTCCTGTATTACTTAATAATTATCAGGATAGCATTTCTCTATAAATCAGCAATTAGGCTTCGTTCACATGGAATGTCTATTTTCTAAATTCTATTTTCTATTCGCGCTACCTTATGATCAGGGTCTGTGCCCTGAATATCCCCCCGCGTAATTACTGGCAGCGCGAGCCAGTTACTTATAGTAACTTATAGTAACTTATAGTAACTGGCTCGCGCTGCCAGTAATTACGCCGCAGGATATTCAGGGTACAGACCGTGATCATAAGACATACCGCGAATAGAAAATAGAATTTAGAAAATAGACATTGCATGTGAATGAAGCCTTAGTACTAGCACCCTCTTCCACCACATCTAAACAAAAACTGATATAATCATAGTATTAATAGAATATTAGCAGATGATGCCTATATTCTAAATAAAACACTTGGTTTACAGATATATGGCCACAATATTGAATGATTTTAGAAATCTCCAGTCTTGTAAAAATATATCTGTAAAACAAGTGGGGGTTCAAAAGTGCAGTGAGAATTAGACTGGCTTCCCACAAACCTATCATACTACAATGATCGATCTAAATCTGACAGGATTCTCGATAAATTGCATTCAGTTCGATCTAGTTAGTATGATAGGGTTGTGGAAATGGTCCCCTACAGGGGCTGCGAGTTCCCATCACCCTAAAACAAAACTCAACATAGGTGGCACTAGTGGCACCATCAAAAAACACTAGAGATAGGTGGTACTAGTATCCTCCTTTTCTAAATACTAAGGATAGGTGGCGCTAATATCACCCCTCACACAATACTACCTTTGGTGGCTGTGGTGCAGGCCCTTTCTTTCTATGGCTATACTGTCGACAAAAAGAAATAAAACAAAATAACACATAGCCATAGGATGGAAGAAAACCACAGAGGACAAAGTAATGAAAAAAAGAAGCAACAAACAAGTTCAGCAGTGTTTACATTGAATGATCTGGACACCAAATAAGCAAAGAAACTGAAAAACATAAAATTATACACCACTGGCTTCATCAAAAACTAAAACAAATTTATGAATAAAATGTAAAAATCAAGAACATAACAATAAACAATGACACAAATAAAAGTTAAAATTTTGGAAAACACCAAAGCATCACTCAAAGCTCACACAAATCAAAACAGGTTAACTTCAAAAGCACGCTGAAGTGTTACTCCTATGTTTAAGCCAAGATAAAATTCAATTCGAAATTGGAGTTAAAAGAAAAGTGTGTTTGTAACAAATTATTATCAGTGTCATCCATAAGTTTTTTGGCATATTTCTTGACCTTGTTGTGGTTATACCAGTCAGTGTGTAAGAAGCTAAGGATGATGACTGAATTTGTGCATTAGCAATTAGTAGTTAACAGAAATAATATTTTTAATGTACATTTTTTCATATCCTTTATCAACTGTATGGTGTAATTAAGTTATATGTTATTATAATTATTGTTTCCATACAACAAACTCTTGAAAATGTATGTTAGGTCTAAAATATTATGTGTTCTTATTCATAGGTTGGCTTAGTGATGAAAATTGCGTGACATTACATTTTTTCTATCTAAAATTAACATTTCAGTTGTGCAGCTGAAAGGTAATTGTGCCACAAATTCTCCAAAATGTCTTTCAAATAGTGAAATGTTTCTCCCTTTTTTCTTTTTTCTTCAGGGGGAAGCAGATTTTTGGACTTTATTAAATTTGTAAGCTTAGCCAAATGCAAAAGAATGAATTTAGAAATTGCATTTTGCCCAAAATAATTAATCATCAGGACCTAAGTTACAAACTACGCTGGTTCAGTGATGTTCAAAACACAGATTACGTGTAACGAGAACACTGTTATATGAGTATCCTCCAAGATGCAATACGAAATATGTCTTCGAATACTCAAGCTGCAAGCATCACAGAGAGAAAATGCAAAAATACATCAAACATTATACCCTTCAGCATAATAGTGACACTGACGATGCAAAACAGGCACAAAGAAGTCCTGTATATGGAAACCTCTGTCTGTCCAGAAAACTTACATATTATGTTGTCCAGTATTAACAACTTTGTGTAATCAGGGCAGATGTTCCATATGCAGCTTACTTCTTAGGCTTCATTCACATGCAATGTCTATTTTCTAAATTCTATTTTCTATTTGCGGTATGTCTTATGATCACGGTCTGTGCCCTGAATATCCCGCGGCGTAATTACTGGCAGCGCGAGCCAATTACTATAAGTTACTATAAGTAACTGGCTCACGCTGCCAGTAATTACGCGGCAGGATATTCAGGGCACAGACCGTGATCATAAGATAGCGCGAATAGAAAATAGATTTTTAGAAAATAGACATTCCATGTGAACGAAGCCTTAGTGGGTATCATTTCTTGGGAATCTTCTGCACAATTTTTCAGTTGGTATGATACAATTTGACAAGTTCGGTTTGGATTTCTGAGTCAAAAATGAAATGTTGACTTTGGTTTTCTGGGTCAAAAATTTTAGAAAATATTCAGTGTTTGGGTTTATACAGCTCTTAAATCACCAAATTGCCCAGTTGAATCCTGTGCAAGTTTATATGTAAGTAACTGCACAGAAGTTTCATACAATAAAAGGGATATACATGTTTATTTTCTCCCAAAAATGTTGTCATGTATAAATTTGAGCCATTTGCAATACTATCCTTTAATTCACGTGTCAAGAACTTAAATAATCCGATTCATGAACTGTTTTGAAAACGGATTTGTATGTAGAGAACTATAAACCATGTATATCCCTTCAGGCTCTGACATACACTCGGAGATCTTTTGTCATCTTGGAAATAAAAAGCTTGACCAATGTCCTAACCTTGTGACATGAAGATATTATATCAAATTTCTGTATACTTTTTTGAGAAAAGAAAATCTTTTGAAAAATTTGCTGGAATCTTTGTATTTGGTTGGAAATTTTGTCATATTTCGCGAAAGGAAAAAAATTATCTCCCAAGTTCATCAAGGCCTTCACAACATTAACCCTGAGTTTCGCAACATCAACACTGATACTCGCATCTATCAAATGCTGAGCCATCATATCGATAAACTGTGAAAATTCAGGGTGACTATGAGAGCATTCACATCGAGAAGAGCCGAGGTCTAGCAAGGCCGAGACCCGAATATGGCAGACCTAAATGAAAGGAAGACAGCATAATCCTTTAATGGTCTCTCAATGATTACGCGGTCTTCCATTCATGTAGTTTCACCATACTTAGGTCTCAGCCTTGCTAGACCTCGGCTCTTCTCGATGTGAATGCTCTCTATAATCATGCAATGACCCAAATAAAGTATCTAGGTCACTGATTCATGCTACGGTTGTCAAATAAGCGGCGGCACCACTTCGTACACCTACATCGCTCTCCTCTAGTCTAGAACTAACAAGATGCAGAAAGGAAGGTCTGTGCGAGTGGTTAGGTAAAGTACTGGTACGCATTAATACCCGTTGCCGTGGTGATTGTGACACCTCGCCCGGTCCAACTGGGGCAGAAGGTCGCCGTGCGCCTCCGCTGCCTCCATGTTGGTCTGTGGGATCAAGGTCTGCGCTGAACTCTCTTTCGTCAGGTTGCGAGTCGTTGGAGAATTGTCTTTCATAATCCAACTGAAGAAGAAAAAATAAATTATTTAAAATCAATTTTCACAAGAAATATGACATATATCACCTAAATATTTCTTGAAGATGATTATCACAATTATAGCAACAGCTGGTTACACAATTACATGCATTGCTTGTAAATCTATTAAAAGATTCCTAGCTTCATTGAAGAAAACTAGGTTGATGGACGAGCATGTCTATGCATATATTAAGAGATTTAAGGTTCACAGTATTTCATTTTCTCAAATAGCATTAAGAAAGATTAAAGAACAACCAGTCAATAGTTAATTGTTTGCGGGTAACTTTGGCATGTACTTCAACCAGCTAAAAATAGAACAAAAACAGCACAGCCTTTTAACGTAAAACTGAAACATTAAATAGTAATGGTGACATCTTTCTCTACAGACATAGAAATAGTGACATCTTTCTCCTCTGACATGCAATCACACACAATAGCACTGTTGACTATGAATGAAAATAGTGTTTCAAGCGTTGTTCCTTTTGATGTGTAAATTTAAAATGAAACAAAAGAACCATTTGGCACTAGTGGGGCAAATGTTGCAGAAATAACAACCAAAAAATTGCACAAAAAATTCAATAACCCTTGTAAAGAATATCTGATTTTTGTGCTCAGCCTAGCTTTTCATCAAAAAAGGACCCTACTGAATTTGAAGTTAAAACAAAATTAAATTTTGTACAAATATAATAAGCATCGCGTTTACAAGTAAAAAATGGCAAAAATATTTTTATGTTACTAGCACTTCTACATGAGTCATCTACAAAACCAAAATATTTTAGAGATCTTATGAAGCTGTCAGCAGTATCACATGATTTCTTTACAATGACTCTATCTTATAACAAAATTTCCCACTGAGCTAACTTAGATTTCAGACTGAAGCATAATATATAATTCTTTAAAAAATCATTAGCATACTGGAGAGCCTATACAAGTGGTGCTAGGCATCTCAAGTGTTTGCCAAGAATTCCGCACTAAAATGACATCATTCATTTGAGATGTATAATTTAAAAACAGGCAGTCCTCATGAAAAGGTTAAATGCAATGTCTCATTTGTATTCCGCCTGCTTCCTACTAACTAAAGATGGCTATTTCCTCTTATATCGTCTAGGCACATATCAATTAGTGCTTGACACTGTAGCATCAGGCTTGCTTGCTGTTAGGGGCTCTTCACATCAACCATAATATCGATGTGATACAACTGTATCAGTATATTTCGAGAGATTGACAACTTAACGGCCTGGCCATTGGATAAGAAAGTCAACTGAGCAGCATCTCCGCATTGGACAAAGTCGATTAATAATCTTCTACTGTCTACTATACAACAGAAAGTCAACTTGGAAAAGGGATGTGCACAGTTCAGAATGGAGACATACTACTAAAATGTCTGTTCCTGACAAATAAAAACACTGTTTGATATTGCTGCTTAATTTATTCAATTGTATAAATACTTATAAGAGAAAAATAAAATAAAAAAAGATATTTTGTTTTGTACCATGACCATTCTGAAACGTAAATGTTAAAAGAACACACATTTTATACAAAAACAAAGAATTTAAACTAAATAAATGAATGAGTAAACCAACAAATAACTTTTTTTAAAAAAATCACTTCAAGTACCACGTCTGCCTTAATTCCTTAATTAATGGTCAGCCATGGCCAGACATAAAGTGGGAGGTCAGCTGAATTGTCCAGATACTAATCTGACCACCACCAAATCTCAGACATACCACCAATATATACTAGGACCAGATGCTATCAGCCTAAGTGCAGGAAATGACCACGAGCATACATATATTTTAGATAATATCCAGGCACTCTTTGTAGCTCTTATCTTAATATGGTAAATACTAGATCTTTTCAACAAGAGAAAATTGTGAATTTTACAGATACTGTATTTTTCATGTCATAATTTCATAAAATTAGAATATTTCTATTGAGTGGTAGCAAAAAGATTAAAAAGCAGGCTACTGTATAGCTCTATTCTATGCACTGAAAGCACCACAACTGCTATATACATGTAGAAGAATAATTTTTGTGATAATAAAGTTATGTATCTAAAAGTTTGGAAATTATTGCCTATTGAAAAGACCAAGTAATTACCACACTCAGCTTTCTGTGGCCAATTTTTTTTTACATACTGAAACACATGCTCTTAATGCTGTGCTTATCTAAACCTTATCATGTAGATGTTGCAACCTAAATTATACTGTTTTAGTTTTTGAAACTGGTGTTTGGCATAAAAAGTCCTTGTACTACCGGCAGAAGTTTTCAAATTGGTGGCAAACAACTGATAATTGAAAGTTGAAAACTTTACAGAGCTATTATTAGTACTTGTACCACACACGAGAACAGAATGAAAAAAACTTTTAGTGCAAAAGATCTCTTTATATCACTCTATATCTCTTTACATTATACCTCATTATAATAGTATCTGTTCAGAAAATGTGTTACTCTGAACCGATGCACCAATTGTTATCATTACTTCAGGGTAGTCTGTTTTGTAATTTTGTTGCTACCACAATATTCTTATTTTAAGAACTTACCACTTCAAAATGCTACTATAATTTTTCCACTGAAAAGCTCAAGTCACTGTCATATGTTATGTTTTAAAAATACTGGACTTGACAAGAAATTTCCCTGGTATTTCTGACAGTCACTGTCCAATGTCACCCCCTTCAGTCATCAAACAACAAAAACAAAAACAACAACCGAAAAGAAAGAAAGACAAAAAAAAAAGAAAAAAAGATAAACAAAATGTCCTTATCTGCCCAGCCATGTGGGATGACACTAACCCCTAGACAGTAATTTCAGGATATGTCTTGATATTGAAAGCTGATCTTAACTTACATAGTTACCAAAATGTTGTCTATTTAGTGCACTTAATGGAACAAATGCTGGTCCAAAGCTGCTTTTTA